CTAACACCAAGTCTTGGGTCTCAGTGGAAAAACATTGAAACAGATGGCTATAAGCTAATGTAAACAGGCAGCTTTTGTGGAAATCTACAAGACCGAGTAGTCATAGACCTTGTAAATAGGTAGCCTGGGCAGATAATACCAACTTAGATAAGGACAAGCAAGTCATAGGCAGTCATAGTGACTTGTCCCCTGAACCTTCACCCAGCCGATACCCGGTTCTGATGATATCTGTATTCCCCCGATCACCCACACTCCAGTGTCATTCCCTTCCCCACATCCTGCCTTTCTATGTTTATAACCCCTGTGTGAATGAATTACGATTTGAGAAAAAATAAATTATAAAAAAAAAGAAAAGTAGGGACGGCAGACACTTCAGTATGGTTGACTTCATGCACCTATATTGAAATCGGAGGTCAAAAAAAGGGGGGGAGGACACAGAGCATCTTCAACTCTTGCTTAAATACTTCTTTAACTAGGTTCAGTTAAGAGCTCATAAAAATGATCCACAGCTATGATATTGACTGTTTAGGGAGAGGAAGGAGTGAATCTGTACGTCCTATAATAAGCATGTCTATGCAGAAGGGAGAATAAGCAATCAAGCACCACCTCAAGCAGAATCTCTGATGCAAAGGGCAGATTTGCAATATTCCTTTGCAAAGCTCTGGAAACTTCTGTTAAGCAGGTTTAATGCCTCAACCCATTAGGAAAAAAATGTAATTATCTGATGGCAATTTGATAATCATGCATCTTTGTTTTGTAAATAGGCTGGACTGACACTTGCTGTGTAGACCAGACTGGCCTGGGGCCTGTCTCTGCTTTCCCAGAGCTGGGATTAACAGCGTTGGGAAACCAATAACATGGGCATTGTATAAAGAACTTTTCCTGTTAAAACTTCTCACTTCCAAGTGAAATCTAAAAGAAGGAAGAAAAGTAGACACTAGGCTTCAAAATTCTCAAGCCCTCAGTTAAATGCTGAGTGAGTAGAAGGCTGGGCATCTATAAAAGAAGCAAAAAGCCTGCTGAGAAGGGGGATTTTTCTGTACTTGTTTTTCTTGCTTGGTGAGCACATTTGCTCTTAGCATTGATACATTCCCAGAATAAGGAAATGTTTTCTATGGCTAGTAGTCCCAGGACGAGTTCAAACACAACCTGTCCAAACCAGGCTTATCTTATGAAAAAGCACTTTCCTTTGAAAGCTATATTTTGGTCAGTAACACCATGATTATCCAAATCACTCAGATCCCAAGTTTTCATATTTAACTTTATTTTTCTTCTCCTTTAATTACGGACCTGAAATCGAACTAAATCAAAACGAACGAAGGATCGCTGATTTTGAACCACACAGATGTAAATGATAGGCGTAGAGCCATGGGTAAGAGAGGCCATGCCCAGAAGACCTCAAATCAAGTGTTCCCCTTTCTGTTTCACAGAAACCATTGGCACTTCAGCCCCACAGTTTCCTCTGATCACCCTTCTCCAACCAGTCCCTTAACTGCTCTGGCTTTGTATGTGTACCAAACACTCCAGTTCACACAATAGTATGCTGACCAAATACTTATGCAATAAATCCATTGTGTAATTCCTCTGCTAGGAACACCTCTATTGGTCCTTGGTATCCACAAAATGCCCACAATGTATCCACAAGTCTGCCTCTACTAACCATTGTTCTGCATCATATGGCTTTCCCAACTCTGTCTCCAAGCATCCCTTTTGTACCAAGCATGTGTTACAGCTCCCATCCAGACAGACTTGAAATTGAGGTCTGGCTTCTTCATTACCATATTAGTCCCTAGCTCCCTGTTTAGTCACCCTCAGAGCTAGTGTTCAAGCTCTGTTTCCTTCCAGAACACATATCAAGAAATTACACTTATAGTGATTTTGCACTGGCATATAGCAGCATTTGTCTAAAATATTTTTTCTGAAATTAAGACATGAATAAATTCATATTTTTATCTATCTATCTATCTATCTATCTATCTATCTATCTATCTATCTAT